CTGTGTAAAGGAAAGGGGTACAGTATGTTTGTAAAACTTGTGTGAATTTAAACAATAAATTAAAAGATTGATATTGATCATCTTCATTTGAGAAAAAATTAGAAAGGGAAATCTTATTGGCTCAAAGCTAATTCATTGCTCTGCCATCACAGCGACTTCACAGATCCTCCGCGCCACCGTTGATTGGTCGCATCACGAAGGTCTAGAGGAGAGCAAGCGCTGGCAGCTTGGCTTCCCTCACCATTCCTCGATCTGCCTGCAGCTCGTACCTTTGCCTATGCCTAGTGCCTGAATGCTAAAGTATTGGCTGGGACACACTTTTCTTCAAGATAAACAACATTGAAGTGGTTCTCTGGAGTGTGTTGTCATTAATATTTTTCTATAGTTGATGAAATCCAAAAAGGTGCAGTAACTCTTTAAGATGTATAGCAGATGGTTCAGGAAAATCAAGCTATTAAGTCACTTCCTAGATTAGCTACAAGAGAGCCTCCTTATTTCATTGTGCCCCAAAGGCCATCTGACCTCTTATGTGCCTTATTATTATATAAAAGGCATTATGAAGAATGCCATTCCAGGCAGGCAGTTTGGAGAAGAAGCACTTTTATAATCAAGGTGTGCATTCAGTGCGTGCTTGTTATCGGTGAAATATTTTACTACTGTTAGTTAAAACGTTGACTTTATGTGGATGTATCTACTTCTTTCCTTCAGTTACAAATACACAATACTAGTAATAAAGTACCTTGCTGATTCCCACTAGATGATATTTATGTTCTTCACATTTCATCTGGGTGTACTGAAATTCTCTATGGTGGTCCCCCCAAATGACCAGTATGTCACTGCCTAGGCATGCACACAGATCTCAGCATGGAGGACCTGTGTTTAAATGTTTAGTCCTGTGTGAGATAGTAAAGACTGCTGTTGAGAGAGAAACTTTACAACATTTTTAATTCCTTTTAGAATATTTATATTTTTGTGTTTATTTTTGACAAGAGATCCTCTTTTATCACATTTTACTTTTTTGTTTGTTTAAAGAGATAAATATGTGATTTTATCTTCATTGTAATTGCATTGAACCTATTGATGTTAGCAGATATATGTTTTATTGAAGAAATTATCCACTTCTAGGTTAAGAGTACTTTCTTAAAGTCAAATACTTTCAATAAGTTTTTTTTTTCTTTTTTTTGGAAAGTCACTTTGATACTTTTTGTTGAGCATTTGTATGAGTTTTGTATTTAATTTAAATTGTTTTAAGCAGCTTACGAATCAGACAGTCATTATTTTAAAACTTTGCATACTATGTGGTGCAGTTTGTTTGTGCTGTGTTATGGTTTGTGGGCAGCTGAATTGCAGCTTAGAAAATTAACAAGACTGATGGGAAATCTGTTTTAGAAATTGTTATGCTATGTAATATAGTAAGTGATTGACAGGGGCCTACAAGTTTATGATTGTAAATTGATGTTATCATTGAGGTAACATGCAGCTGACAAGCTCTTGTTCTGAAAAAATATAACTTTAAACTTTATATAAAACTTTAACAAAAAATTGTGTGATTTATCAACAGTAGAATTTTCTCTTTTTACAAAATAAATTTTAGAAACTGGTCTGTATATAGTATAAATACTTTTTCACCATTAGTCACATTTTTACATTATCTCAGTAATTTGTAGGAAATTGGAACATTTGCCATTTGTTCTCATGGCCACAAGTCCCAAAATTTGGCAACAAAATAAAGTCAGTCATTAGTATTATTTTTTTGTTTTTTTCATTTTATATGGCCTGCATAATTTTTTTTACACATTTGGTAAATGTGAAGGAAATCAGATGAAAAACTTTTTTTTTCATGTTACTGACCTGTGGTTATATGATTTAATAATGGATGCCTCTAAATGACCAAAATTTTGTTAAGGTAGCCCATCTGCCTTGGTCTGCTGATGCCATGGTTTTTGTTACCATTGTTATGATCATTAGAATCTCTTAGGAGGTGCAGAGCCTCATTTTTCCTTTAATTTTAATAAATATATTAAGAATCAGCACTGACTAAGATCCTGTTCTTAAATATTCACAAAGATAGAAGAAGATAATGAAAAGTAGCCAAAAGTTGGTGTCATTTTTAAAAGTGAAGGCAGCAAATACATGACTTTATTTGGAATTGAAAATAAAGGAGAACGTGTTTAGCTTGAGTTGGAGGCTGTATCTTCAGTAAGGATAATAAATATTTACAATACTATTTAACTGCACTGGAGCAAGTACATTTAAAATACATTGTTAAGAGAGACTTTCAGCATTCATAGATATTATTCCTCATGTCATACACAGAATAAGCATTCACATTTTGTATACTGTGAATAGACAATTTTAATTGATTTCATTTTCAAGAAAGCTACCAGATCTTTACATAAATACCAGCTCTAAAAGTTGATGGCAGAAGAGCTTATAAAGACTGAAATCCTGGTGCATAAAACGTGACTTGAGAAAAGGCAGCTCAAGCAAAGTTAACCATTCGTCTGTTTATTTATCCTTGTTTCTTTTCATGCAGTACTAATATACTAATTTGGAAGTCAGAAATATTTATTAACTATTTATTTTTTAGTGATATGTTTTTGAGGTGCAATAATAGAATGTTGATGTGCTCCAAGATGACCAGAATTATCACAGGATTCCCTTAGCCCTAGTCACCTTGTTTACACTACTTAATTTGTAATATGCATAATCTACTGTGTGTGGAATTATATTAGGTTTTTAGAAAGAGTTTGAATGTTTTCTTTATGGAGTCACTGAAGATATTTGTCCCTGTATTCATTTTTTTTTTGCAGCTAGAAGTCTGAGATAACAAAATGACAATTGGTGAAGAAATAAAAATGATTTGAACCTGAGAAGATAAGAAGAGATTCAGAGTTTTACATATTTATATAGTGGGTGTCCTCAGCTTCACAGGCCAAGACTGTGGAACTCTAACAGCACCAGTGGGGTGTAATTTTTAGTATACATTTTTAATAAAATAACAATGATTTTCAGTTTTGCTTTTTATGACTTTACCCCATGATGGAGATAGGAAGGTGGAGGAAAGCAGTTCACATACTTATGTGTGTGTTTCAGGGGGCAGGGATATGCAAAATAAGTTTATTTGAAGATTTAGCAGGTTTCCCAGCAGAGAAGACTGAAGTACTAAAAAGGAAAAGAAGGAGGGACATGGTGTAGCAAAGCAAGGAAGATAAGGTTAGGCATACAGAAGCCAAGCCACATCAGTTAAGATCAATGTGTCAAGTGAAATGTAGGAATGGTAGCCAGCATTAGTCAATGATTTAAGGATATGGGGAGCAGAGAAGCTATAAACAAAAGAAAGTAAAAATTATATTGGCTGAACTGTAGTAACTGCAGTCAATAGGCATGGTTATTGATAGCAGGAAAGATGAAAGGCTATTGATCAGCCATCTAATGGCCTATATCCCACTGGTGACATAAGAGAACACTGATACTGTGTCCCTGAATATGAATACCTCTGTTAGGAGATACATTGACTTGTTTTCACCATCTTGCTCCTCCCATCCTCCCTTAACCCTAAGCTGATGGGCATGGCATTACTGTGAGTTTACTTTATTAATTGTTTTTACACATAGATGGCTACACTTGTATTAAGTCACCAATGAATCAATTACGAGTACTGCCTGTCTCACCTGTCTACCTTTTTCCTTGGTTTACAAAAATATAGTATGTTATCTTATGTTACTGTTACTAATGTTTATAATATTATAGTAATTATAATCTCCATAATAAAAATAGCACCATCAATATTCATAGCATTAGTAAAAAAATACTTTTTACTTTTTTCAATGAAAGGTGAAATCAGATACATTTCACACAAAAAAAAATGAAAATGAGCCCAGCATTTTCCCCAATGCTATGTGGTTAATGACTTATTCACCTCTGCCCTGAAGGAATCTAGGAGGATTTTCACTGTCATGTCATCTTCTAACATACATTTTAGACACACACACGTATATATATGGACTTACAAGCATTGGCAGAGCCTTTTTGTGGTTGAAAATTTTGAAACACACTTTAGTTGCATAAATAATTTATTTGTTAACACAACACCAGTAACTTATTTTAGTTGGTACTAATTTGTATTGTATATTTTGTATTTATATTGCTGCGAGTTAAATTGTATTAATTTTAATTAAGGCACATCATAATTTTTTAACTAACTTCCATTTCCCTTCTCTAAAAGTCAACACATTTAGAAATGGATTTCTAGACATTTACAAGCAGATACAAGTAAACTACTATTATATATTTTGAAGTAAAAGGAAATTGTAACTTTAAATCACAGACTATACCATTTTTTCCTGAACACAAATATTTGCTGCATATTTAATGCCAGTGCATTTTGTCAAATGAATGATGTGAACGGTGTAGAGAAACTATAAAAAAAATAATTCTAAAACAAAGAAGCAGAAACAATAGGTTTGATATTAATTAAGTGTTATCAAAATATATAATAATATTCTGCAATTCCTTCTTCCTCCGACAAATACTACTGAACTTAATTAGTTTTACATTACGTAAAGAAACATTGGTGCTCAAAAGAAAACTAATATTTAAGTAACAATATATGGTACATCCCCAGCAGGAAAACTGACAAGAAATGAAATAACAAGACCTGAAAAAAGGGGAAACATATACATTCACTCTTGTGTGTCTTTTAAATTAGCGTGTCAGTGGTAATCACAAAAGTAACTGCAAAACTTCTTTTTCTTTCTTCCTTTTGGTAATAAAGTTTCCAGGAAGGGCATCCTCGGACTACTGCAGTCAAGGAAACCAAGTAGTGTTCCGCCTTTAGGAATTTCATGATCGTGCTTGAGGTCCGAGATTGTAAGAAGTGGTACAGTGTGACCACAGGGGAGGAGGGTCTGTATAGGTAAATTAACCTTGATAGGGAGGGGGTAGGGGGGGACATGGCCCTCCACTTTTCTCAATACCGAAGAAGGCGCAGGTGTCCTTTAACTCTTGTTCTCAGCGACCAACTTAGACTTCGTCCAGCTCGAGAGTTGAGGGACACATGGGGGCGTTTCCTTTGCTTGACGACGCCCTTTGACGGGCAGAGGCGCCTTTACCGTGCCAACCTGAATGGAGTCCGGAGGATGTTCGACCGTGATTTTTCTGAAATAAAAACAAAGGGGAAAGTAAATAAGTATATTAGTTGGACGGCTAGAAGAGAACTGACAATGCTTAAGGATGATGTTAAATAATAGTCATTAAAATACAATCAAAACCTTTACTTGACAGATAATACGGCAGAGAAATAACTGTAATTAGATAACTACTTAACAAAACTTCCTCACCGTCGATATCTGCTTCAGCCACTCTTTGTTGTTGAAATCGAGCTTCGATTCGAAGTAAAAGTCGTTGATGTAAGAAAGAAGCTGGTCCACTTTCTCTGGGAATTCTTCGGTCGTCTTCGGTGTTTCCTGAGAGAGAGATGTATGTGGTTACCGTTATGTGGTGTATATGGCAGTACGGATGCGTCAATATGTATGTGTGTATGTGTGTGTGTGTGTGTGTGTGTGTGTGTGTGTGTGTGTGTGTGTGTGTGTGTGTGTGTGTGTGTGTGTGTGTGTGTGTGTGTGTGCGTGTGTGTGTGTGTGTGTGTGTGTGTGTGTGTGTGTGTGTGTGTGTGTGTGTGTGTGTGTGTGTGTGTGTGTGTGTGTGCGTGCGTGTGCGTGTGTGTGTGTGTCGCACACTTATACTTTATCCAATGATCCCCACCCCCCCGTCGCAAGCGTACCTCTGGTTCCTCCGTGGTGGCCTTCAAAGGACCCACGAAACTGATCTTGGGCGCCAGACCGACAGCGGCTCTTGCTTTGTTCATCATGAAGTCCACGATCTCGTACTCATTGCTTTGCTTCAGAAGATTGTTCTTGATCTGGAAAGAAAGACCGGAAAAGTGGGTGACGGGTTGGTATTAATGCCATGTTTACCTTCGAGGTTTCATTACGTAAATTTTCAAGGAACTTTTTGGATTCGTTGTTGTGGGTCAAGGGGAAGAATCTCAAGCGCTTTTCTAACTTATTCATTCGCTTTTTGACACAACATTCGCACCCGTTTCCCTTCTCTCACTCAACCCCCTTCCCTCTGCCAACTAGATCTTTTTCTCTGTCCCTTTCCCCTTCTCCCTTCTTCTTCTCCTTCCCCAATTCCCTCATCTATTTCCTCTCTCCCCTTCCCATTCCCCTTTTTCCCTTCCCATGAACTCTTTCTATTTCCCACTTCCCCTTTCCGCCTCCCAGTTCTCTTTTTTTCCTGTTGATCCCTTTTCCTTCTTTCATTCTCAATTTCTCTCTTCCTTTCCCATTTCCTCTTTCCTCTTCCCGTTACTACTTTTCCCCTCTCTCATTCCCATTCCCCTTTCTCCTTTTATACTTTCCCTCTCCCCTTTCCCATCCCCTTTTCCCTTTCCCTTCCCCTTCCCCCTTCCCCCTTCCCCCTTCCCCCTTCCCCCTTCAACTCCCACACCCCTGCAATCCCTCCCCTCTGCCCCTCTTCTCTTCCCCAATCCCCCCCTCTCCCCTTCACCGACCTCTTCGAAGCTCCTGATGACAAGTGTGAGAAGCAAGTTGATCATGATGATGCTGTTGAAGAAGGCGAAGATGAAGAAAGTGATCGGGCCCAGCTTTGGGGAGGAGTTCACCATCCCTTCGTAGTCGAATTTACCTGCGGTGGGGAAGGAAGAGGGTGAGGAAAGGGACGGGGGATACAGAGAGGAGGAAGAGAAAACGGTTGGGGAAAAAAACAAACAAAAAAAAAAAGAGGAAAACCGAGGGAAAAGGGGAGGGGATTTCAAGGA